GAAAAATCAGATTCCCTACAGTCATTCGGCTGCTGGTATTGTCGGCAACGAACCAATACTAACCCACACAACCAAGCACCAGTTGTCACCAGTTCAGAAGGTTACTCTCACTCAGCGTTTCGACGTTCAGTATCAGATGCTACGATCTCATCAATGCATTGTACCATTTCGAAAAGCTTATGCAGTTTCTGATTTCGTAACAGGCAAAATGTCTCATGTCAATGTGCATGGTTGCAGTGACTTATCCTATACTATGAGCAGCTTAATAATGACAAAATTTTGTCTTATGCTCTGATAACTATATCCTTTTATTTATGCTGCGATTCACAATGGATAGCTGTACGTGGGTTGGAGCTTCGAGGTTGAGACGCCGGAATCTCTACATATTTGCCCCATAGAATTGACGGAAATTAAAAACCATTACTTATTCAGAGGCCTTTCAAAATGAAAGTCCAACTCTCTACATTCTTCTTTAATTAACTTTTTGTGAATTTACACCATATTACTATTTATGGTCCAGAGCTCTAAGTTCGGTTGTTGCTGTAACATATAAATGTCATAAGTAACAGCTTTTTTCGTTTTGCCCTATGCCTTATATATCTTTTACACTATTCTAAATATATATTGTCTGCAATTTATTGTTCGATTTTTACCATTTCCGTATTACTGTCCCATTATTATAAGTACTATGATTAGTATGGCACGGATTTTACAGCGCGCGGGTAACCGCCAGCTAGTATATAATTATATATATAGATCTATAGATAATCACATGATTCCGATCCTATCGTGGCGAAATATGATTCGATACGATCTATATGGTAGTGTCATGGCGGCGAACGTATGTTGATTTTTCGTTTGCTGAAAATTTAGATTATTATCATCACCACCATAGTACAACTTTATCAATTACTCAATTTTGTTTAAAGGGTGAGAAGAATTGTTTGCTATGAAACGATATTCCGTATAGTTGTCGATGTTTAAGGTTTTCAGATATATTATGTTTTTAACGCGATGCATGTTCGTGTGATAGATAGCTTAAATTTTGTATGTTGTGTTAACTGTTTTTAGTGCAACTGACTCAAGCTTGACTGTCAGTATGACACTATATAGTTATGTGTTAAAGCTCGTTGTGTAGAATTGTCAGTGCTTAAGGCCAATTATGACGTGCATTTTCTCTGTGAGTTGGCTGTTGCTTAGCAATAGGTTTTGCATGATTTCCATGCATTTGTTACAGTATATGTGAACTTCACAAAATTTCAACATTGTGGAGCATGTCTATATGGTTTTTACTTCGCGCGCGCGCGTCCGTCAGATCAGACATTTTGCGAGGCTCAAGGTATCTTGTTTACCCAAACGGGCTCTATGCTTGTGGCAAAGGTCATAGAAGTGTAGCAATGACATATCTATTCATGTAATTGGACTGTTCACATAGGTGACTTGTAGAATCACGTGCTGCTACATGTTTTATCCGAAGAAAAATAGATGGGGAGAGTTGTTTTTATTCTATCCTGAGGGCTACGATATCAAATAGTCTTGCATCAGCGTAGAGTATCGCACTTGACTAGATTCGTTGATTCTTTTTTATGTCATTGATGAATTAGAGTGATAGTTCGGTATGTAACTGGCAGCTGTAGTAAGGAAACACCTGCAAGTTCGAAACCCAGTCAATTCCACACTGTTTTTCCGATTTCAGTTGCGCCGTGAAATTAATATTTGTTTTTTGATGCTATCATGCAGATCGACCATCGGACTTGACGTAGGCTATGCTGACCCCACTCGAAGACATTGGCTAGACGCCGTCAGATCTAGAAAGTAGACCTAAGCAACACGAACAACATGGTCGGGCAAAACGCCCTGCGGATGACAGCGCAATCGGAGCGGTGGGACCGCCAACTAAGCAAAACACACATCCCGTTTGACCAAGTAGCAGCTCCGGCTCCTGTACTGGTCATGGTAATTATTTATATTGAATGTCACGTTTGATGTACCTCTGAGTATGATATGTTTGTGAATGTAGGCGGAGTTCGGTAATTATTATGTAGCTCTGCTTAGTTAAAGTTATTACAGACATGCTGTTGATAGTGTACGTATTTGTAAGTAGTTACTGCTCTCTCTGCTATTTTCAGGAAGTGTGATATGTGGCTGTGTTTATGTTCGTTTGTCTGTTTGGTTCATGTTGTCGTGTGTGTGTGTAGCGTGCATTGTAGCAGTGGTTGCGATGCGTAGCAGTGTCTGTGCAGTGGCTAAGTTGCTGTGCATGTAGGTCCGTGCCACGTGCATGTGCGTAGACGCTCTTTGCAGTTGCGGCCGGCTGAGCCCAACCAAAAATGCAGATGCGTCGATGTCTGCGTGCTGCGGTGCTCTCTCTCTCTCTCTCTCTCTCTCTCTCTATCTCTCTCTCTCTCTCTCACTCGCTCTCGCTCTCGCTCTCTCTCTCCCACATATATGTATAATGGTTTCGAAATATATTGATGAAATGTAGTTATAATATGGACACCACTATTAGCATCCGAAAGATATTGCGTTCGCACATCACGACTGACTAGGGACGCACTTTGAGCGACATGTTCCTGTGTTTTTCGTGCAACGATGTCACAACGGAATGTAGATTCTTGCTCTCCTTCTGCAGCGAGATGATCTCCTCCCTGACGACCTCATCAAAGTCAGCTGGCTTCATCTTCTTTGTCTCCTCCTCGTTCTCCTTCTTTCCCTCCTGCTTCTGCTCATCATCCTTCTTCTCCTCCCCCTCCTCCACAACCGTCTCGCCGTTAGCTGAACACAAAGTAACCGTCAACTCCACGCACGTGATATATACATAGTAAAGATGCTACGCTACACTCCTGCACAGATGTAGCCATATATATATATATACATATATTCGTTCGGGAGATTATATTATAACATAACCATAAATTTACTTCGCGACGAATCCCACTCGTTTAACCACCAACCAACCACGTCCTCCAGGCCGAACACGTACACTCGGCAGACGCCCTCATCGCCCTGGCAACAACAACAAAGACAACAGCGGCTCACCTTCCTTGAGCTTGATGTCGGCTGGTGACGACTCGCTGCTTCCCCGCAGCGTCTTGACGAGCTTCTCGTATCGCTGCAGCTGCCGGTCGAAGCACTGCATCACCTTGCCGACGGCGCGCTCGGAGAACTGCACGCGCTGCGTCAGCTTCTGGTCGAGCTCGTTGCGGTCCCACGTCGACAGCGACTCGAGAAACGACGTCAGCTCCTCGCTCTCATCTGCCGCAACAGGTCAAAGGGTCATCAGTTTTTCCACGCTACGCGATTAGGGAGCGGTGGCGGATGGTTCGTTGCTATACACAATGTTGTACGTTCACCACCGACGATAAGTATCAGGATTAGAGCGTGGAGTGACGACAACGTTTAACTGTTGTCTGAAAGCGACGGCGAGGTGAAAATGTCAGGTTTCATCACCCCCTTCCCAACAAGTAAGAATCTATATCTTTATTTTTCTCGCATTTTAATTGTAACTATTTTTTGACTAAGTATCACGTTATTTTAAATTTAGTATAATATATTCTAAAGATGGTTTTTAGTTTAGTGATATAATTTTACGAACCAACATTTTAAGTGATATCTATGTCTTACCATGAGACATATATTATTGTAAATATCATCCATTTCAGTTTTATACTGCCTGATGATATATAATCTTGTTTGCAAAATTTATTTTAATTGTAACGTTGTTAACACTAGTTTTGCAATAAACCTATTATCTATCTATCTATCGATCCCATGCCATGCCATCCCATGCCATCCCATCCCATCCCATCCCATCCCATCCCATCCCATCCCATCCCATCGTATGCCATGCCATGCCATCCCATGCCATGCCATCCCATCGCATGCCATCCCATCCCATGCCATGCCATGCCATCCCATGCCATCCCATCCCATCCCATCCCAAACAGTAAAAAATAATAAGAAATCAAAATTCTTACTTCAAGTATGTCTCAATAGCCTAGCGAGTACAGCACGAGAGTTAAGTATGGAAGGTCGGTTAAACGAATCACATCCGTTTTCTAATTATTTTCCTGTTTTCTGTATTTTTCTATCTTTATCCGTTTAACATTTTTTTCCAATTAACGCAAATATTTACATGATTTATTTACAACATTTTAATAACAACAATTAATTTTTACAACAATTAAAAATTAAATTTTATTTTTATTTTTGTTAAATAGGGTTAGGGTTAGGGTTAGGGTTAGAGTTAGGGTTAGGGTTAGGGTCACAATGCAGTGAATGCACCATAAAACAGGAGTTTGAGGCACGTGATTTGTATCACCCAATGGAAGCGCTCGCTAGAGCCCTATGTTCTTGATTGACCTAGGAAAAAAACTCACGCCGCCCGAGGGATAGCATTACCCATGAATTCAGACGTGATGTTGTGTGTACGAAGGTGACCGCCATCTATTGATCAATAGA